CCCCCCCCAATGAAATATGTTTGGATGTAATTTAGGTCTCAAACCAAAAGCTTTCAGGTTTATTAGATCCATTATCTCACATAATGTGGGAGTGGTCAGCTCAGACTTTCCAGCACATTCTCTCCAGCATGAAAAGTCTGACCCTCGGCAAAGTGAGTAAGACGTTTCTAAGGAAAACTTTTGTCATGACCGAGGAACACTGGAACTTTTCCCCCTGCCTGAATGACTCGTAGCATCTTTTACTGCCATAATAGGTTCTCTTTCCCAAAGTCCAATAAACAAAAGATTTATTTTATCCCCATATTTCTTTTATCTGTAAATATTACTATTAATCATCTCTTTCTTATGTTCCAACCTCCTGTTTAACTTTGCTAAAGTAAACTGCAGACAGGACAAATAGCTAGTATGAGAGTTGTATGACTTTTCACTCACTTTCTTTTATCACTTCAGACTTTTAAATAATAAGGACAGATGTTAAGCTTTAATGGATTTCCAATTGCATGCATGTTAGAGGACGGTGGTGCCACAGTATGTCCTTTAAACCAGGGTCAAGACATTTTCTATTCTTCTACCAAGAAAACTAATATTTTGTATCTGTGGTTGTTTTACTCTGGTCTGAAGCCCCAGTCTTATAAATCAACTTCATGCATTTCTTTCTTATTGAAACATCCGTTTTAAGTCTATTAAGATGGCAGCATATACAGTATACACACAACATTCAACAGAAAATATATCTACATATATTGTGCAGATACATTTCCATGACTTTGTTCAAATAGAATTATCTGTTTTAGTCTTGATAGACTATTATCAAGTTAAGGTTTGTCTGTATAAACATGTTTATGCAATACAAATCTACACATATAGTTATCATTAGCTTCTTAGTTTCTACGTCTTTGACATAAACTTTAAAGTATTTTGTCAATAAAAACCAAAAAAAATATTCAAAAAGGATAGGTTCACAATTCTTTAAACAATAGTCAGATGCCCACATGAACACCAAAAGGTTTGATTTGCTGTAATCATTTGTCCTGTTCATACAGACCCTTAAAAAAAAACTCTATATGATATTAATGATTTATGAGATTAAGAAGGTTGAACAGCGTGACCTGAACAAATCAAATGGGTATCTTCCAAATTCACAGTCTTTTTACAATAAAGTTTCAATCTACTGTAGCTCAACAAGGAAACACTAACAGAAACACAAACAGGGAATTTTGTAGGGCTGCACAATCAATCTAAATATTATCAAAATGGCAATATGGCCATGTGCAATACTCAGATGGAAAAATAATCCTTATCGGTCAAAATAATTGCAATATGATATTTTACACCATATGGTGCAGCCCTAGAATTACGTACTAAAAAGCCCCCCTGCTATAATGTATAGTTTTCAATAAAAAATGTAATTAAATTGGGAACACATCCTTTAAGCCGACCCAGGTTTACAGTTTCGAGAACAAGCGCCTTGGTCTGGCACTGACCTGTGTACAGCTGTGTACCAGCCAGCAGCAAGGGTGAGGTTGATAACCATGTCTACTGGGATCAAATCGGCCACCGCATCGTTGTTGGCCCTCATGGTGCGCAAGATCCCCTTTCCAGCCTGAACGTGAAAAAACACTTAGGTCTTAGGACTCCGAACCTTTTCTGAGCACTTAAAAGCTTTGAGATTTTGGAAGATGGACATTTACTCACTGCTATGAAGACTCCACTTGGTCCGTTGAAGTTGTCGATCCAACCCTGAGGCGTAAGAAAGAGAGAGCATCCTTAGAGACGTGACAGCTTTCACAAGACAGATAAGACATAAGATAGTTATTAGATCCAAACAACACGTGTGTGCTTGTGTTTATGTGTGCTGAATCATCTCTTCAGGCTTATGTTGCTTCCTGTGGTGGGAGAACAGAGGAGGCCGGGTAGCAGTGATTGTCGACTTCAATTAGAGCCCATTAAAAATAGATGAAACCACTGGTTATAGACTGCTGCAGTTCCCAACGTGTGGGACTGAAGACCCATTATGCGGTCTTGTCCTGACTCTAATAAGCTCTGGTGCCAGAGGTGTTTTTAGCACCACAATCCTGTTGGTGGCTTCATGCCAGGCTAAGGTGGCAGATAGAGCTTTACATTTTGCATTATATACACGCAAGGAAAATATGGAGTCACAAAATGCCAAAATTAGATGCACATTGTGGTTGTAAACACACCACACAAAGGCAAACATAAAAACAGGCAGTCCCATCCTCCCCACCCCCCTTGCCTCACAGCACCTACTGGCACGAGCTGCCAAAGCGATTGCATGGCCAAGCGTGAGCGAGGCCCTTTGAAGAGTCGCTGCCAGTCCGAGCTTACAACTGAAGGCTGAGCGCAGAGCCAGGAACTGCCGTCAGAGTCCCTGCGCGCACACACGAGACCTACATTTCCTGCCACCAGATAAACAAGGACTTCCCTGTGTTTTTCCTGGTATTTTATCTATGCAGCGTCATTTCTCAAATCTCTCCGGGTACCTTTGATTATTTAACAGGAAGGTTTGAGCTCAGGAATCTTTTGGGAGTAGCTCTCGACTGACTGCATACAACAGTAAACAAGCTCGATATTATTTGACCTTAAAAGACAGAAATAACTATCAAGATTCAAAAAAACATCTTCCAGGAGGACTGGATGTATGGTTGCCACATACAATTATTGATTTATCTATTGTTTTTTAGAATAATTGACAGATTCATGTCATATTTGACAACTTCCCAGAGGCAGAAAGCAAATATGTTCAGTTGAGAAACATACTAGATGCTTGTTTTTCAGTCTCCCAGTTAACTCTATCAATTACAGGTTTGTTCACATATAATTAGAGTGGGAAAATTACAGACTGGGCCTTTAACTGTTGATACCAAACACTAATTACTCTTAACTGAAGATCACAAAAATGCTACTTTATATAAAGACTAAATGCGATATAGTGGCTGGTTTTATTTCTTTACTTATTGCAGTCAGTGCACAGTGTAGATGTCAGGACGCCTGCAGCAGCTCAACTAAAAGCAGCTTAATCATGGAAATATTTCAGAGTTTGAGTCTTCTGCTGAACTCTCAGTGCAGCCTTTACATGAACTTCTCTGCACTCTTCAACTTCCCGCCCTCAATGTGACATTCAGTCTGTCAGTGCATCTCCGCTCTCGGTGTCCCATTTCTTCACCACCCTAAAAACTCTTCCATCCCAAGCAGCTGTTTGACGACTTGGTTGAATGGCTCAGGTCTTCAGCAAACATATTAACCAATTTGCTTTAATCCCTGCGTCACCTAAGATGAAACCCCACAGGGGAGCGGCACTGACCTGTGCAGGATTACATCGATCAATATCTGATTTCCATTCGTGTTACCGTCACAGGTGGACGCATAATGAGCACAGGATCAAGAAAAAGATTTGATTAACCGCAGCCAGCAGTAAGAACACACAGCAGGCGGTATAATGTGTAAAAGTAGTTTAACTCTGTGAGAGAAAAGTGGACTCACAGGGAAAGGCTCCTGCCAGCTGGCTCCCACTATGGAGGGTCTGATGATGGCGATGTTGAGCTTGTCCTGCTCCTGTTGCACCACGAACTCGGCCAGGGCTTTGGTGTAGGTGTATGTGTTGGGCCGGTCGCCGATGAGCCGCGGTGTGATGTCACGCACCATGCCATCGTCCATCCACCTGAAGACAGAAATGAAGGGCTTAGTCAGAGAAACACAGCGTGCGTGACACTGTGGTAGTTATTATTCTGGTATTCCATGTTGATCTTTGACCCATTTGTGTATTATCATCATTGACTAGTAAAGTGTTCCTCAATGCTTGGTGCGTATCCCAAGAGAAAGAGGATACAGTCACGGTTTGGGAATTTACTTTGAAAAACTAAGTATATCCAGAGTTTCCTGTTACGGTTTCATAGTCATTACTCTATGGGACATTATGAAAGTACAGCCTTTGTTTCCAGTTAGGATGCATTTACTTTCTGGAGATTTTATTTTGAAAAAAAATAGATAAATCCCTTTCAGTTTTTATAGTTGTATTCATATCGTAGGGAATATTATAAACAATTTCACGTTTTTGGGGCACAAAAACCAGTCCTTTATCCACTTACTCAAGAGATTCGATGAGTTTCTTGGGCTCGACAGGTGGCGGGTAGATGACCTCGTCGATGTGTTTGCGGTTGCAGTTTGCATAGGCGGTGGAGATGTGAATGAAGGCCTCGAGGTGGTGCATCTGCTTGGCCAGGCTGACGAGCTGCTGTGTGGCGATCACGTTCAGCTGCAGGGCGTGTCTGCCAGAGAGGAGAGAGACATACAGTCAAAATAGTGTTTGGATTTGTGTGTGTGTGTGTGTGTGTGTGTGGTGTGTGTGTGTGTGTGTGTGGTGTGTGTTGTGTGTGTGTGTGTGTGTATACTGAAGTGTGGTGCTTGAGATTAAATGTGTGTAGGAAAAGGCTTTGTGGGTTGTATTTGCCAGGCTGCTAATATCGCTTGTTTGAGCAATCTTGCATGCGAGAACGTTCATGTTTGCCGAGCTCCTTAAGTGTTCCCATTCAAATGAAGAATTGCAGACTACTGGGAAACATGATTATAAGCGGAGCAGAAAGAACGACACGACAGGATGGTGAGACATGAAAACCAAACGGGGGAGGGAGAGAGGACAAGACAGACAGGAGGGGGGGGGATAGAGCAACATCTGCTCTCCTATAAATGTGTTAGTCCTCATCAATTATTGCTTCAACTGAGCACCCGTTTTTCAACCTCATACCCACCCACCTCATCCAGCCACGAGCACTTCAGCAAACACTTGTGTGGCTCCACATGCCAGTAGGGCTGAAACAATAAATGTCTATGAAATCCAAATTCTAAATAATACCGCCATACCACGTCGCATTTCTACATCTTGATGTTCCCTCCTTTTTAGTCCCTCCACCCACCCTTAAGGAGATAGAAGGATGTTCACGAATTGTAATGCTGTTGAGGGGAATTTGTCCCTTACCAATTTAAGTAACTGTCTATTACCAATTTCTGCCGTCACTTGCATTAGCAAAGGGAGATGCCATCAAACCAAGCGTTCCTAATTTCTCTGTAAATTACAATCAAATAAAAAGCTGCAGTACACCACGTGATCAGTAGATAAAGAAACAAGGCAGAGCGAGGAGACAGACGCTGCGGCTCTAACCTCCCTGCAAAGCCACAAATCAACACATCTTAAGTTTGGTAACCTTGGTAGCACTTGGTAAGCCTCTTGGCATTCAGCAGAGCATCTGCAGCAATCTTGTCAGCTCGGAGCAAGAAGTCAGTTTTGCCCGAGGCCGACAGTGAGAAAAAACTGAGGGATCAGTTTGAACAGATACTGCGAGATAAGAACGCCTCTTGGGCTCTGTGTGGGTGGCGCTCGCAAGGGTGTGTGTCAAGGAAAAGTGATGGACAGTGTGTGTGTGTGTGTGTGTGGTGTGTGTTGTGTGTGTGTGTGTGTGTGTCTCGTGAATCGGATGTGGTCGGGTGGTGCCAGCTTGTTAGTGACAGCACACATAGATATGAGCAACAGGGAGTGTGGTGTTGGTGGTTATTAGAGGACGAGCTCAGTGTGTGGGCCCGCCATCTTCCCACCGCCTTCTAGGACCATATGCAGGGCGTTGCGCCAGCAGGATGGTCAGGAAACGATGGAAAGCACCACTGTGCCCCTTCCTGCATCTGACTCATTACCCATCTGTTTCTGCTCTTATCATTGGATGTAAAAACTAGAGAACTGCATAGCTCTGATCTACAAGGTACCACCTCAAAAGGATCGTTTCATTACAACTTTATTAGATCTTGGGTCTTATGTTTATGGTTTTGGCCATCAGATTAATTACGGAGGTCTGGGAACATAACTACTTTAATTCACACTTCATGGGAACCAGTGGTTTCCAACCTGAGGTCGCAGAAAAGATCTGATCGCTATTTTCTCGTAAAATACTTTTTCCTGAAAGTGAGTGCACCCAAAATGATGATAATTAGAGCTGAAACAGAAAATTAATCAGCAACTATTTCAAATAAAAATCCCAAACATTTCAGTTCCAGCTTCTAAATGATGAGAATTTGCTGCTTTTACCCCTCTCTGTATCTCTGGGTTTTGGATTGCTGCTCGGACAAAACAAGACATGAATGATTCATTTTGGCCTTTAGGAAATTTAGGTTTTTGTACGGTGGCTGAGAGAGCTCAACTAACAGCAACTGAAGCAAAACACTGAGCTCTCTGCGCCACCATTTTCCCCTTTTTTTCCTGACATTTTATGGATTAATAAAAAAAATTATCTGCAGATTAGTTAATAAAAACAACCAATAGTTGCAGCACTCTTGATGCCTCACTGCACAAAACGGTGGGAACACACAGCTTCAAATACTGCAGATGAACGTTAACAACCGACTGTTTGAGTAATAATTGAAGCTAAATCAGCAACAATTAGATGAACGCTCGATTGGTGCAGCCACAAAACAGCACCAGCAACCATTTTGATAATAATAAATGAATTGTTTCTATTAAAAATCTCAAACATTTCCCAGTTCCAGCTTCTAACCTAAGAGCAACTGCTGCCTTTCTTTGTCTGAAGTGACAGTATAGAGAGTCCCTTTGGGGATTATTGAAATAAGTGATTTAACAGTAATTAGGCTTAGATTTAAGGAGACTGATAGAATTTAGTTAAAAAAGCCAGACATTTTACAGACTAAACAGTTAATTGATTAATCTAAAAAGGATCACGGTTGGGTTAATAATACAAATATTGTTTACCTTTGTTTTTTGCCTCCAAATAAGTTTGGCTAACCTCCGACTGGTCGTGTTTCTTGCCCCACTGGACTGAATGTTATTACAGACAGAATTAATTACATAAACAGGAATGATCCTTTAAGTGGGGATAAAGACCTGCAGAGGATAAAGACCAGTTGAGGCGCCTGAAAAGCTCCTGGACTGAGTCTGAAACCTTAAACAGAGACACCCGAGTCGTCAGATTTATGCCCCCTGCACTGCTTACAAGGCTGCTGGGCGCTACAAAAGAGTAATGACTCAGAGTTGACAGAGATGGGAGGGAGAAGAGAGAAAGATTGAACATGGGAGTGAAAGCTAGAAAAAAAAAAAGAAAAGAAAAAAAGACAAGGTGAAGGCCACTCAGAGAGAAAGATGGAAGGTGAGGTGACAGGGAGGGCGAGGGGAGAGCCAGTCAAAAAGCCACAGCAGGACAGAGAGAAAGATGTGAAAGCAGTAACGGATCAATATAAAGCTGTGCGGAGTGCAGTGCAGCAGCTTTATCCTAACTGAGCCGTCATTCAAACCTAATAGGTGTCCCCCCCCCACCCTCACACACACTGTCTGTAAACCCGAGGAGCGCTCCAACACCACCTCAAAACATGAGTAATCTACCTCCGCTAGTGCATGTCAGAGACTCTAAACCCTGAAAAATCTAACTCCTCAACTGAACATACTGTATTGGTGCATCAATATGTGGGAAAAGGCAAAATATACATGCTCTCTGTGATCTAACTCCATGTCCGTTCTGTGTCTTTATCAGATGCAAATGATCAAAACAGCTTTCTGGTGTTGTCTATTGTTACATTCCTAAACTTGTGGCTTTAATGAAAACGGTGTGACGTAGCGCTCTTCCTCTCTTTTTGTAATCCTGATGAAAATACCCCCCCCCCTTTTTTTTTTATTTTTTTTTTTTAACACGCACTTTTAATTTTCCAGCACTACCTTTTGGCTTTAGTGTGTTTTTAGTTATAGAGGATCTTTTTTTAAACTTCATGTTTAGAAGAATTTCCTAAAAAGCAGTCATACAAATAAATAAAAATTATATGTAATAAAAACTATTATTACCTCTATACAGGCCAAAATGTATGGCCCTAACCAGGATCCAATAACAGCGCAGTAGCCAGAGGCCGCAGCAGATGACACTGTCCACACTGTTAGTCATCAGTGGGTTCAGACCATATAGAAACTTTAGTAACGAACACATTGCAATCAATTTCCACTAATGCTAGATCTAAAAATACTCTCACTGGCTGATGCAACTTAAATTGTGACGATTCCTACATGTCAGCTGGATACCATCACACAAGCTATCTGTATTCAGCGTAGCTCCCTGAATAAAGAAGGAACCATTTATTACTGACAGATTGTCACATTGAACAGTGGTACACAAGGTTGATTTCTCCACATCCTCAACCCTTTGTAATAACCAGCCCCACTTCCTCTTTTTGCTTTAAATCAGTGAAACAGTGCAACCAGTTCAGTGAGCTGCATAACCTCTGTAATGACGTCCCACCGCAGGAAGTTCCTGCTTTACCCAACAATAACGAGATGTGTATTGTGGTTCAGTGAAATCAAACAGCAATAAATCCGGTGCATGTGATCCTCACTTGAGTGGCTCGTCGAAGCGGATGGTGGCAGCGCAGTGGAAGACAACGTTGATGCAGCCGGTGAGTTTCTCCACATCCTCCGGGCTGATGGCGAGGCCAGGCTGCATCAGCTCGCTGCTAATGGGGATGATCTTCTGGTGGAAGTCGGGGTTGTCCTCCCGCACTCGGTCGAAAAGCTGCCAGAGAGAAAACACACATGCACAAAAGAGAAAGATTAGTTTACTTGCTAAAAACTTGGTCATCAGCAGCAGCCAAATGATGCAGGACAATAAATAATGTGATTTAAAACACCACTTATAAATCATGCCCATAATGCACAAGAGCTGGAGGGCAGATCAACTACACAACTGACACAAGCGTTGACAGCTAACCCCTAAAATAGCATGACAAGGAATGCAAATTATCTCAAGTCAGCAAAGGCAGCAAATGTGTTACTTTGCATAAACCCCTCAGGCAAAAGTCACCCACATGTCCCAGTAAAATTTCAACATCAGCAACCGATTTGTTTCTGATCCGAAGTGGGTGTCCCGTTTTATTGCATCAAAACAATAATACCAAATACAGATGTCATGGGACAGGGTCAGACAGTCGACAGTGATCCCTGTGCTGCTCGCTGAGTGACTTGTCAAAGATGCTTCACAGTAATGAGAATGTGACCTTCTACTGCTAGGACACCGTGTACAACCACAAAACTTGTACACCTCCACCCTGACAGCTATTAATAACTGAAATTGAAAAACAAATTAGTCATTAACAGTAGAGGGCAGGATTTTCTCTTTTCTGCATTTCTTATTATTTACCAGGTGGTCACTGTGTAAACAGTATGGCAGTATCTTTAATTTATACCATCTCAAAGTACAGGTTTTGTTATATTGTCAACCCCTATTAGTAGCTACTAAATCACACCAATGTGGAAACAAAATAAGTGCCCTCTAATAAAATCTGCTCCTGGCAAATAGGTTAAAAAAAAAAGCATCTGACCTTACAGCCAAGACACACATTAATCAAAGTTGTCACTAGAGCTAATTGGCTGCCTTATTATTCAACTCAAAGGAAAAATGGCTGTGTCAATATTTGTACTTTTTGTACGACAGTTACTTTGGCTCTCCGACGGTGTGACAGAGGGGTTGGGTTACACATTCTGAAGAAGTGTTTCTGCTGTGGACCACTGAGTTTTATTTGTCAGTGCCATGAGTCAGACTAGGCGTGCTCCCTGAGGAATATCCAAATGTGAACGCAGCACACACTCGCCTCACTGAAGAAATGAACTCCCAGTCGTATACTTACTATCAGTGCCGAACAGAACAAACATATCCAACAATGTTAGACTAAACATTCACCTCACTCTATTCAGGGGAAAGGCCTGAGCAACATTAAACCCCTTTGTGCCAGGGTGTGGCAGCAAACTGTAGAACTGCAAGGAATGATTACTTTTCCAGTTAAGACAGCTCGTTTTGTCTGACCAGTAGGGGTGAAAGTAAATAACGATACACTTGAGAGGCAAGATAGCAATGTTGTAGGCCTAAACTGAGGGCTATGATGTTGGATGTTACAGGGACTGTGAGAAATACATGAAGATTGATTTTTCATACTCTAAATTCATGTTCTTCATACTATGACACTACGAAATCCTACAAATAAATTTATCGCCTTGATACAGTATCACAATATACTGACCTTTAACCCCCTGTATCGTGATATGTAATTTTTTCTTGCCAGATTCTTGCCTGCAGTCCAAAACTCAAATATATTCAATTTACAAATTGCCTTATATTTGACATGCTGGAGGCACTGAATGTGAATGTTTTGCTAAAAATAACGATCAAACTGTTGCAACAAGTTCATCCCTCTGGTCACAAATGCTTCCGTAGAACTGCCTGACTGATAACGACACACGTGCAGAGCATGTTGCATTTCATACATACGCTCATGCACAACATACTCTGCACGATGCATCACAAAGCCTTGTTTGTGTGATATTGTTCCACCTGTTTACACTGCTGTTTGCTCACCGAGGGCAGCAGACGACATTCCAACAGGGAGGGAGGGGTGGATAAGTGAAGTCTTGTCTACATTTACCAGCTCATGTTTGTTCTGACACTTTTGGTGCACACGCTGAGCACTGCATCACAGTCCCCTGCAGGACTGTGCATGAAATCCCTCTGCCGTATTGGGAAGCAAGAGAGTCGCAAAGAGTAGTGTTGGTTTGCCACCGACATGGCATTTCTGGCTGTGTGGCAGCTGTGCACGAATGCATTTTACAGACAGGCAGTAAGAGATGGCACGAGAAGAAGAAAAAAGAGGGTGAATGAGGGGGGGGAGAAGGGTTTGGCATCAAAGTGCACGATCCTCTGTTATGAAATTGCTGTGTGTGTTTGTGTGGTGTGTGTGTGTGTGTGTGTGTGTGTTGTGTGTGTGTGTGTGTGTGTGTGGTGTGTGTGTGTGTGTGTGTTGTGTGTGTGTTGATGATGTGGACTGTCCTAGTAAGCAGAGCGCTCTAGCTGAAGAGGACAGATGTTGAATTAAACAGCTTCAAACAGCTGTTTATATTCATGTTCTGTATCCCTATCAATCTTCTGCTTTGTAATGCTGTCCCTCTTCTCCAAATACCCCACGCTGCCCATATTAGGCACAAGTCCTGAAGTACAGTATGTCATGTCACAACCCAGAACTATTATTCCCAACTGGGGGAGGGGGATGCATGCTGTATTTTATTTCTGCATGATAGTGTAGGACTGCTATCATTATGTAATGCAAATATAATAGTGTCTTCCCTCCCTCTGCTCTAGGCTAACAGCTGGCAGTAATCGAGACCTACAGTCTGCAGAGTGGCAGTAAAAGAGATTCAATGTGCAGCTTTCTCATAAAAATCTTTCCGAAAATATCAAAATCGGCATGTGTTTTACTGCACAAACTGTTCCTTTTTTTTTTTTTTTTTTGTAATGAACCTCAGGTTCAAACTTCCTCCTTTGTGGGTTGTGTGGAGCTTGGCAACAAAAAACAAACCAGCCCTGAATTTTTGGCCATCACCCACAAAAAAACCTTGTGGGTGCTGTGACTAGGAAGTTTACCCTGACAACAAACGTGAACTCCTCTTGTAGCGGATGGTTATCTCCCCTGTCACATACTGTACCAGTCAGAAAAACATCACAGAAAAAAACTTAATCAAAACACTGTCAGTCAAAAAGAAGAACTGCTAAAGTCTTTTGGGAATCAGCCACAATTGATGCTCCTCACCAGTCAAAAAGACCATTTTATACAAATGCAACTTTTTCGTGAAGGAAAAATTATTAATTCCACACATCACTTTGGTCATTTTATGAGTTTTACAACCACTATTGAGGCAAGAACCACTTTAGCAATTTAACACCAGAAACTGCATAAAGAAGAACCTCCTCAACACTAAAACACGAGAGTTGGTTTCACTAAGGAGGAACTCTAACCACAATGTTGTAGTATTTGGGAAACTGCTCGTAGTTGTCACTTATCTGGAATAGAAGGGGTCTACATAAACTCATCACCACATGGTGATTTTGTTTTTTCTTCTTCTTGGAGATTAATGTTTCTACAAATATAATATTACTCTGGGCAAGTGGAAAGCAGTTTCAAGAGGAAAAAAATCTAAATCTTGTTTACAGGCATAAGACAGACAAGGAACAGGAAACCAATCTGGAAAGAAAAATAAAAGACTGAAAATGTTAAAAAATCCCCCCGGCCAAAAAAAAAAAAAAAAAAAGCTGACACACAACATAACAAGGCTTAATGGACAGACATGCAACCCCACCAGAAACATCTTTAAATGCACGGTAGGCCACAGATTTTTTTTTTTAAAATAACATTAGTTTTGATAGTAAGTTGCCACAGGAAAACCAATCATGGGATGACCGATTGGTCATCCCTTAAATATAAGATCCAATTGCCAATTGAAAACGAATTAATTCTTCATGCCTACAGTCCTACTTCCTATTGTACGTTACTTCACGATTCTTGGCACCTGGCTCATAGATGCCTCCTAGATGCCTCCTAGGATGCTCCTAAGATGCTCCTAGATGCCTCCTAGATGCCTCCTAGAGTGCCTCCTAGATGCCTCCTAGATGCCTCTAGATGCCCTCCTAGATGCCATCCTAGATGCCTCCCTGTTGGTTGTTGGTGCACACAACAATCCTGGGTGTCAGACTTAAAGCCCCCCCCCCCCGTGATGCACGAGGCTGTTACTGTTTCTGGGGCAGAGTGACAAAAGAACTGCAGAATGTAATCACTTACTGTACACTTGAAAGATGAATATTAAAACCTTTTCGAGCACTCACTTCATGAAATACTATCCAACTGAAATAGCAGCATGAGTATCTACCAGGCTATGCTCAGCCAAAAAATTATTTGTGAAGCACCTCTAAGCCAAAGTTAAATTACAGAAAGACTCAGAAGAGAGAGGGCATCAGGGTCAGAAGGGTGAATGAGGCTGCAGAGTGTGGGCTTCAGAGCGCTCTTTGTTATGGGCACAGTCAGAGAATGGCATTGTGGGACTGTGGCGTTGTTTTGTAAAAGGCTCTTTTCTTGTGCCAGCCTTCCACCGCTCGCATTTACCGTCACACCCTCCTCTGACCCTTGGGCATCAATGAGCAAACTGCCTTGTACAAGAACACAATAGTCCACCAGTTTGCATTTACTCAACAATCTGAGGGAAAAAAACTCAGCACTGCCATCCCTGCAGTGTAGCCACAAGTGTTTTAGTAGTACATCTTGTGGTCAGTCAGAGTTGTGGCCTCGACCTTGAGCAGTCAAGGTCTTGTATAAAGTCAAAATGATTTTCCTGTACAGGTGGCACGTACATGTGGTCCTTTCTTTGCGGTGGACACTGCCATATTTAATACCCTGAGGGCAATACATTGCCCATCAAGAGGGCTTGAAGCAGCCGCTCTGTGAACTTTCACAGAAACCCTACACTAATGGCACTTCCCTTTCAGCACAGCAACCCGAGATGCCATTCAAACAGCCTCTCTTCTCACTAACTGCCCTTTAACTGGACTCTACTCTTTTCACAGCCCCCTTCCTTTGGAGCAAAGGGATGACAGAGAGAGGACTAGCTAGAAAAAAAAAAAGAAAGTACAAGAGGCACAAAAGTGGTGAGGAAAGCAGCAGGAAAGTGTTTTCTTTTTTGGCCTTGTCCACAAAGTTT